GCTTTTGAAACCTGTCAGCGATATGCCCAAGGTGGCACGAGGTATGCATAATCATCACCCTGTATTACCTGATTTGCCTGCATACAGGACTTTTATTAACGCATATAGTTATAGTACTGCCATTACGAAAACTTTGTCCTTATCAGTTCAAGAGATGCGGCTTATGTCTCTAAATCGTATTGCGGATAACAGCGAAAGGGCACAAAAAGACAGGGGATTCGACAAAGAACTCATTATCCTACCTAAGCATTTGGAATTCGGATACGTGAGGCGAACATGCTGGTGCGAGTGAGCCGTCGATTAACCACGATCTGACTCATAGGGGGATCCAGGGTGGTCTCTTGGGGAGGGGAGGAGGGCAGTTTTTCACCGTCTCTTCTCCCTTTCCTCACTACGCTTCCCTCCCTCCCCCCTCCCCTCTTCTCCTCAGCTAGCTCCTACCCCGCTCTTCAGTCGTCGCGGTACCCCTCCCACTCCTCCTCCTCGAAAGTCCCGCTGCAGCCCATCCCTCCCCCTCCAATCTTACCAGTGGACACTAAACTGAGACTGACAAGGCTCCTGGAGGAAAAGGGGGCAAGAAAGTGGGGGAGGAGCAGGGGTAGGGGGAGCGACAGGAGGTACCAAGCAGGCTTTGGCACACTAAAACAACTCCTATCTTAGTCCCTTGAGGAGAAGAAAGTTCCCTTGCCCTCCCCCCGCCTGGGCCCGCCAATGATCTGCCCGTGTTTTCTAGTTATTTTCTGTACAAATATTGAATTTCAACGTTAGTTTTGCAAGAGCAAGATCAGAATTGACAAAATTTTCAGTGCGGACAATACGTTTCCTGAATTCTTGGTAAAAAAAAAATTACCTTTAGCGTTTGGCAATGTATAAGGTAAAATGTCTTCTCAGCCAGCATGTCTCTGAAAAACAGGAAAAAATTTGCTAGAATTGCAGACGTCGATCCGAAATCGGTGGTTTGCCTATTTTTCAAACAAGGAATGTGTCATAAAGGTGAGAAATGCAAATTCAGCCACGATCTGTCGAAGGAGCAAAAGACGGCCAAAAAGAATCTCTACGTTGACAGCCGAGATTTAGCGAATGAAAATGGTGAGCACTGTTCGAGTATGCACTGAAAGGCTAGAAACTATAAATTTTTCTTTGCTTTTACCATGAAATAGTGGAATGAAAGGATTGGTCTTAATTGTCATGTGCCGAAGGACATTTTATTATGTCGTAAGTCTGTGTTTCATCCCTTAGCTGTATACACAGAACGAACTATGCATGCGGGTAGGAGCGGGAATCATCAGTACAGCCTCCCACCCGCCATGTTTTGAATAGTTAAGTAACTAATTTGCAAGATGGAGAAAAGAAAGAAAGAGAGTTATAAGTGAATAAGCAAAAGAGTGAGAGAGGAAGGAAAGAGGGAAATTTAACAAGTGGTAGGAACAATCATTATATGTAATTATTAGGAAG